CGTGCATCCAATGTTGCTTGGCACTCTTGTCTACTTCCAGTATCCAGGAGGAAAGCTACATGATTTTCTTCAGGTTCATCTTCTTATTTAGCTTCTCTTGGATCAAGAATAATAGACTAAAAGACCTTTAATTATGGCTAGAATCCACTTATGAGTGAGTACATAACATATTGCTCTTTTTGGGTCTGGGTTACCTCACTCAGTAAAGTGTTTTCTATTTCTATCCATTTGCATGCAAAATTCAAGATGTCATTGTTTTTTACTGCTGACTAAAACTCTAATGTATATATGTTCCACACCTTCTTTAACCATTCTTCTATTGAGGGGCACCTAGGTTGTTTCTAGGTTCTGGCTATTACAAATAGTGCTGTTATGAACATAATTGAACAAATACTTTTGTGGTATGATAAGGCATCTCTTGGGTATATTCCCAAGAGTAGAATTGCTGGGTCCTGAGGGAGGTTGACTCCCAGTTTCCTGAGAAACCGTCACGCTGATATCCACAGTGGCTGCACAAGTTTGCATTCCCACCAACAAAGGATGAGTGTTCCCCTCACTCCACATCTTCTCCAGCATAGGCTATCATTGGTGTTTTTTACTTTAGCTAATCTGACCGGTGTAAAATGGTATCTCATAGTTGTTTTGATTTGCATTTCCCTGATCGCTAAGGAGGTTGAGCATGACCTTAAGTGTCTTTTGGCCATTTGAAGTTCTTCTGTTGAGAATTCTCTGTTCAGATCAGTACCCCATTTTTTAACTGGGTTAATTAGAGTTTTAGTGTCTAGTTTCTTGAGTTCTTTGTATATTTTGGAGATCAGACCTTTGTCTGATGAGGGGTTGGTGAAAATCTTCTCCCAGTCCAAAGGTAGCCTTTTTGTCTTACTGACAGTGTCCTTTTCTTTACAGAAGCTTCTTAGTTTCAGGAGGTCCCATTTATTCACTGAGTCTCTTATTGTCTGTGCTACTGAGGTTCTACCTAGGAAGTGGTCTCCTGTGCCTATGTCTTGTAGACTACTTCCCACTTTCTCTTCTATCAGGTTCAAAGTGGTAAGGTTAATGTTGATGTCTTTAATCCATTTGGACTTGAGTTTTGTGCATGGTGATAGATATGGATCTACTTTCATTCTTCTACAGGTTGACATTCAGTTATGCCAGCACCATTTGTTAAAGATGTTTTCCTTCTTCCATTGCATACCTTTAGCTCCCTTGTCAAAAATCAAGTCTTCATAGGTTTGTGGGTTAATATCTTCCATTCACTTCCATAGGTCGACTTCTCTGTTCTTATGCCAATACCAAGCTGTTTTCAATACTGTAGCTCTGTAATAGAGTTTGAAGTCAGGGATGGTTATACCTCCAGAAGTTCTTTTATTATATAAGATTGTTTTGGCTATCCTGGGTTTTTTGTTTTTCCATATAAAGTTGATTATTGTTCTCTCAAGGTCTGTGGAGAATTTTGATGGGATTTTGATGGGATTGCATTGAATCTATAGATTGTTTTTGGTAGAATTGCCATTTTAACTATGTTGATCCTCCCAAACCAAGAGCAGGGGAGATATTTCCATTTTCTGGTATCCCCTTCAATTTCTTTCTTCAAAGACTTAAAGTTCTTGTCAAATAGGTCCTTCACTTCCTTTGTTAGAGTTACCCCAAGATATTTTATTCTATTTGTGGCTATCGTGAAAAGTGAAGTTTCTCTGATTTCCCTCCCTGATTTTTATCCTTTGTGTATAGCAGGGCCACTGATTTTTTGGAGTTGATCTTGTATCCTGCCACATTACTAAAGGTGTTTATCAGCTGTAGGAGTTCTTTGGTAGAGTTTTTGGGGTCGTTTATGTACACTATCATATCATCTGCAAATAACAAAAGTTTAACTTCATCTTTTCCAATTTGAATCCCCTTGATCCCCTTATGTTGTCGTATTGCTATTGCTAGAACTTCAAGCACTATATTGAAGAGGTATGGAGAGAGTGGACAACCTTTTCGTGTTCCTGATTCTAGTGGAAAGGCTTTGAGTTTCTCTCCATTCAATTTGATGTTAGCTGTCGGCTTGCTGTATATTGCTTTTATTATATTTAGGTGTGATCCTTGTATCCCCAGTCTCTCCAACACCTTTATCATAAATGGGTGTTGAATTTTGTCAAATGCTTTTTCAGCATCCAATGAAATGATCATATGGTTTTTTTCTTTCAGTTTATTTATATGATGGATTACATTGATAGATTTGCATATGTTGATCCAGCCCTGCATCTCTGGGATGAAGCCTACTTGATCATAATGGATAATTTTTCTAATGTGTTCTTGGATTCGGTTTGCCAGTGTTTTATTGAGAATTTTTGCATAGATGTTCATGAGTGAGACTGGCCTGTAATTCTCTTTCTTGGTTGTGTCTTTATGTGGTTTTGGTATCAGGGTAACTGTAGCTTCATAAAAAAAATTTGGCAATGACTCTTCTGTTTCTATATTGTGGAATACATTAAGGAGTATAGGTATTAGCACTTCTTGGAAGTTCTGGTAAAATTCTGCATTGAAACCATCTGGCTCTGGACTTTTCTTGGTTGGGAGGTTTTTGATAACAGCTTCTAATTCTTCGCGACTAACAGGTCTATTTAGATTGTTTACTTGGTCTTGATTTAACTTTGGTAAATGGTACTTATCTAAAAACAAGTCCATTTCTTGTACATTTTCCAGCTTTGTGGCATATAAGCTTTCATAGTAAGATCTAATGATTCTCTGAATTTCCTCTGTGTCTGTTGTTATGTCCCCCTGTTCAATTCTGATCTTATTAATTTGAGTGTTCTCTCTCTGCTGTTTGATTAGTTTGGATAGGGGTTTGTCAATCTTGTTGATTTTCTCCAAGAACCAACTTTTTGTTTCGTTGATTTTTGGATTGTTCTCTGTGTTTCTATTTTTTGATTTCATCCCTCAGTTTGATTATTTCCAGTCTTCTACTCCTCCTGGGTGAGTCTGCTTCTTTTTTTTCCAGAACTTTCAGGTGAGCATTTAAGTCTCCAATATGTGCTTTCTCTGTTTTCTTTAATTGGGCACTTAGTGCTATGCACTTTCCTCTTAGCACTGCTTTCATTGTGTCCCATAGGTTTGAGTATGTTGTGTCTTTATTTTCGTTAAATTCAAGGAAGACTTTAATTTCTTTCTTTATTACTTCCTTGACCCAGGGGTGATTCAGCTTCCATGAGTTTTTAGGCTTTCTGGTGTTTTCTTTTACATAAGTGGGTGCTTTTATATTAGGGGCATAGATATTCAGGATTGAGACTTCCTCCTGATGAATTGTTCCTGTTATGAGTATGATGTGTTCATCTCCATCTCTTCTGATTGATTTTAGTTTGAAGTCAATTTTGTTGGAAATTAGAATGGCCACACCTGCTTGTTTCTTAGGTCCATTTGCTTGAAAAACCTTTTCCCAACCCTTTACTCTGAGTAGATGTCTGTCTTTGTGGTTGAGGTGTGTTTCTTGTAAACAGCAGAATGTTGGATCCTGTTTTCATATCCAATCTCTTAGTCTGTGCCTTTTTATAGGTGAGTTGAGTTCATTAATATTAAGTGATATTAATGACCAGTGGTTGTTGATTCCGGTTATTATTTTATTTTGTTTAGTAGAGTTTGTGTGTTTCCCTTCTTTGAGTTGTGCTTGTGAAGGGTCGCTAGATGTCTGAGTTATTGTAGGCAGTGTTGGGAATGTTGGATTCCTTGGGGTGCCATTTTCCTTTTATTACTTTCTGTAAGGCTGGATTTGTGGCTACGAGTTGTTTAAATTTGTTTTTATCCTGGAATATTTTGTTTTCTCCATTGATAGTGAATGATAGCTTGGCTGGGTATAGTAGTCTGGGTTTGCATCCATGGTCTCTTAGTTTCTGCAGTACCTCTATCCAGGACCTTCTGGCTTTCATGGTTTCCATAGAGAAGTCTGGTGTAAGTTTGATAGGTTTACCTTTATAAGTTACTTGACCTTTTTCCTTTGCAGCTCTTAATATTCTTTCTTTAATCTGTATGTTTTGTGTTTTGATTATTATATGGCAAGGGGATTTTTTTTTGATCCAGTCTATTCAGCGTTCTGTATGCTTCTTGAACCTTTATAGGAATATCGTTCTTTAGGTTAGGAAAGTTTTCTTCTATAATTGTGTTGAATATATTTTCTGGGCCTTTGATCTGCAGTTCTTCTTCTTCAATCCCTATTATTCTCTGATTTTTTTTTATTGTGTCCCAGATTTCTTGAATGTTTTGTGATGAGAATTTGTTGGATTTGCTGTTTTCTTTGATCAGAGCATTTATTTTCTCTATGGTATCTTCAGCATCTGAGATTCATTCTTCCATCTCTTGTATTCTATTGGTTATGCTTGATTCTGTAGTCTCTGTTCGTTTACCTAGACTTTTCATATCCAGCCGTCCCTCGATTTGTGTTTTCTTCATTGCCACCATTTCAGTTTTCAATTCTTGAATTGTTTCCTTTACCTGTTTGATTGTTTTTTCTTGGTTTCCCAGTGTATCATTCATGGATTTACTCATCTCTTCAAACTTTTTGTTATACTTCTTATCCATTTCTTTACTCATTTCTTCAAACTTTTTGTTGTACTTCTCATCCAGTTCTTTAAGGGAGTTATTCATGTCCTGTTTAAGGGACTCTATTGCTTTCATAATGGCACTTTTCCCCACTTCTTCTGGATTAAGGTATTCAAGTCCTTCTATTGTAGGGTCATTGGGATCTGGTGTTTTCATGTTGTTTTTCAGATTGTTGGGGGAGTTCTTGCCTTGGTGTCTGCCCATCTCTTCTTTCAAATGCTCTCTATTGGATCTTCTGATACCGGGTCAGGTTCTCTTGTTGTACAGGCACTTCACTGACAGAATGCCTACCTTTCCTCAGGCAGACTATTGAAACACAGGCACTCCCTCCTGCAGGGTTGCACTCACAGCCCTGGCCCAGTCCTAAAGGCAGCTGAGCTGGGGAGATCTTATGGCCCCAGGGGGAAGGGAGGAAGAGAGGAAAGTGTACCTGGATGAAAGCTGGGATGGGAGGCAGGAGAGCTCCGCAGGGTGAAGCCACCACTGCAGGGTTACCAGGTATTCAAGGGGATCGGGGAAAGTCTTAATTCCTCCTTGACAAGGCTTCTTTCGCAGGCCAGGAGCAAACTCACCCCTCCTCCAATGGATGTCTGCTAGAAGATTTTTGCCCCTTGCTGTTCAGGAATGTCCGAATATAGTTTTCTTAATAAATAAAAAGTGATTGATCAAAATACGGTATGAAACTGAAAACAACTATTGAAATTTAATATTTTAATTTGATATTTTTGCATAAGTTCATAAATTGTTATCTACATCAAGATAATAAATGCAACTATTATTTCCAAAACATCATTGTATCTTTTGGTATCTCCACTTTCACACTCATCTTGTTGGGACATTGATTTTGTATCCTGAAATTTTGATAATCTCTTTTTATTGTATTTTTGGAGCTCTCATAAGCTTTTCTAAATATAATTTTGGATGTGAATAGGGAGAGCATATAGGTGTGCTTCTTCTAACCTAAAAGGGACAACCTTTGGTCTTTAGCCATAAAGTGAGAGGCTAGTTGTAGGCTATTTGTAGATGTACTTTAGATAACACTTATCAGGAATGGAATATGGGTATCTGCAAATTTCTTTCTGTTTTCCTAACTTTCTAATATGGGTGCAAGCATTGATTTTTCCAGTGTTAAACCAGTATGAGGTCTGTTACAAAGAGTTCCTTTTTGTGCATCTTGGTATCGTCCTTACCAGTTTTCTTTTAGATGTTATATCTTTTTATCCTTTATCCTCTTTTATTTCGACCTCTGACTTAGAGTAATTTGTTATAATACATCACATGTAATCACCATTTGGGTGTGAAATCCTTATGTGTGTTCAGATATATGACTTGAATACTTTTAATCCATCTACCCTTTGTTCACTCTGGCTACTTCCCTCAGATATGAATCTGACTACTTGAGGATGTCCCCACTTTACTAATATTGCTTCTGACATTGTTTTTCTTCTTCTTTTGTCTATTTCCTTTATTCCAGTTGCTCTGTATCCAGAGTTAACTTGTTATTCTCTTGCATATAAAATTTTCTCTAATTCTGGTTGGTGTGATTTTTTTTCCTTCTCACACATTATGTTTTCATCTCTGGATGTTGCTTCATTCCCAATTTGAGTTCATTGAAAACTCAGCAAATATGAAACATCCTGCTTCTTTCTCAAGTTCTCTGTATATTTGGCTCTTTATCCTGGGAGTGCTAATCAGACAGCTCTCCCATAACTAATTTCTTACTCCTTTAGTCTGGGAAACAACTGTTTTCATTTTTTGCTCTTTGTCTCTATGTACTGGACTAGACACCCTCTAGGCAGCTGGGTGGGTATGTCCTAGTTCTGCTGTTCACTGTCCCTGGCTCTCACTTTCTAATATGTAGATTCTGGAAATATATTTTCTGTGTTTTTACATTTAAAAACATTCTTTCAGATGTCACATGCATCCAGCATCCTTTCCCTCTCTTACTCCACGTAGCCACAATAAACTACAAATCATGTCCTCCAATTTCTTTTGAAACAGGCCAATTTGGGAAATGCTTTCCTAGTATCCAAAGTCGTCTGCTTGAAAGCTTGTCATTGGAGCAGCTTATGATACATAAAAAGTAGCATTACCTTTTGTGGAAGATCTAAGAATAAAATTTATAAATAAATATTTAAAATATGCGTACATGCCTATAAATATTGTATAGCATGGCTAAAGCAACTGTTCATAATTTGTTACTTCAAATTTATGGAGGTCCTAAGGTGGACTCTGTTTTCCCACTCCTTAAATCAACACCAGTTTTCTTTTGTTTTGACCGAAAGAATTTTGCAAAGATGATGCTGAGGCCAATTCTACAACCACATAGCAAGAGGCCTTGGCAGTTCAGCTATTTCTGTGAAACCCACACCAGGGAGAGTGAAAACAGGCACTTAGAAGGTGTTTTTGCTGAAAAGTGTTTGTTTCTCACCTGGATCCAGGATGAAAGCCTGGCATCCTGCCCTCATGCTGTGTCTGTCAGTCTCTTGTGCTTTCAGTGAAGGCACAGAGATAACTTAGTATGTATAACCTTTCATCTTGGGTCACATTAAATTCCAGGAAGAACAGAACTTCACAGGATAGATTATCTACCCTCTCCAATGAAGAAAATTATTCGTGATGGAAATGCTACACCCTTAGCAATTAGTAAATGAACAATTAACACAATTTACAGTTTTTTTTCCCAGAGTGACCACTGTACAGGACAAGCCAAGAAAATAATGGTCCAGTGATAGTTTGGAACACATCTTACCTAGGACTCTTTAGTTACAAATAGCCTCTTGCCTTCTATCTAAACCTCGACCTCATGTTGGTACCCTAACAATGATTGAATTGGGGTTATTGGGCCACTTTACCTGTTTCCCCAACTTGTGTCACAATGAATAAATCTCCTCCCACTGCTATTCCCCAGTACTCTTATTTATAGTTGGAATATTGCTGATGAGTAGCTGAGTCCAACTCTTTTATAACTACTGGGGTTTTGTCTCAAAAGTTCTGATAAATGAGAGGAATTCTGGACTGGCTTGATGGAATCTCAGAAATCTAGTACAAAAGAGACTCGTGACTCACGCTGAGGAGACCAAAGGCAGTGAGTCGTCAACTACACTTCAATTGACTGTAGATTCCTGGGGGAGAGCCCAGTCAAGGTCAGCTAGCCCTGCTTAATGACCAGGAAATACCCAGATCCCCATAAAATTATGAGCTTTTTGCTGTTTGTTTCAAACTACTGTGTTTCTGGGCGACTAATTATCATAAGTAGCCAATAATACCACGTGTTTACAAATAGATACCTATGATCAGACTGCTGCATATATTAGTCATAGTTAATCTGCCTGTCTGGGTGACCGGTAAAGCAGGACAGCAACTTGTGGGATATTTCCAGGCTTTATCTCAGTATTTAAGTATCACCATTTTGGGTAATGATGTTTTTATTCATTAGTAACACAAACTATTATCATTTTAAAGCAATGTGTAGGGAATACAAATGTGATGTACTATCATATAATACATTACAGGTAAATTTTACTTTGAAAATTAGGACGTAGGAGGCTCTTGAAAGTTTCAAAGTTATGTGAATGATTTCTTCACATTTTAATAGAGATACACTATTAAAACTGTCTTCTAAATGCAGTTTATTGCTTTTAACAATTTACATTCAGTTTTTGTTGTAAATTCACCATTATAAATTATACAGAATTTAATTTACAGAAAATGCTCAAAAAGATTCCTGTTGTGAAATGCAGTAATTAAAGAGAAATTTTGAATTTTTTTTTTGGAAAAAAACAACATTCCCCATATTAGTAGGATGTGTATAGCTGTGTACCAGGTCTTGCCAACAGAGTCCAGACATAGGAAGTCTTTGCATGGAAAATCACCTTGGCAACTATGAAGCATGATTCTTGTATATACATGTGGCAACCTAGTGTGATTTGTGCAGAAAGGTCAGCCCATTAAGTGCTTCACTGAGAGAATATTTGAAGGCAACATGATAATATTTTAAAGAGAAAATTGCCTGAACAATTATCTAGTACTTTTGGAAAGTCAGAGGGCAAGAAGAAATTATTCATAGAATTACTTGGGTTTTACAAAACTTACAATGAAGAATGATTCCTCTTTACTGTGTTTGATTAAGAGAAGCATTGGAGAATTTAGAATCATAGATCTTGAATATATAAAAAATTCATAAAGATTCATGAACCATGGAGTACTAATATATAGATATAGCCCTAAAAAACATACTTTTAAAGTCAATAAAAATGCTGATGTGGAAAGGGATTTTAGTGTCGTTTTGTAAGGTCTGGACAATGATCTACTATATTTATGGTTTGATTATGTGCGAGTGAAGTTTACTAAATATATAAAGCTGAGGAAAAGGGAAATAGTAAGGAATATATAAATAGGTAGATGACAGATAGATAGATAGATAGATAGATAGATAGATAGATAGATAGATAGATAGATGAGAGATAGAGAGATAGATAGAGAGATAGAGAGATGGCAAAATACTATCAAATCAGGCATTCAAAACCTCCAACAGAAACTGATTGAGTTTGCTGAGGCTGTCAGCTGGTGCCTGATTGAGCTTTTCTTTCTCACTGTAATAATTTTTATTATATTATGGGATAAATATTGGTAAGCTATGATTAAAATGGCTTACTGTTCAGTTGTTTTTAAGAACACATTGTTTTCACTCTTCTGCTGTTTACCTGTTCTCTCCTACCTGTCACATAGTCAGGGGAACCAGCCCATCCCCAAGCAAGGAGTCTTGGGGGAGCCTGAGACAAGATGCTTGGGTTTAAAATGGCATTTGTGAGGAGCAAACTCCTTTCTAGAGCCAGCTATTCAGTGAGCTAAAATGGCACATGACCATTTGTATAATTAATAAATTTATAATTTTATAATTTAAGTCACAAGTGTTCATAGTACATCTATCATGCTTAGAGTTTAAGTGACAATCATTTAAACTGATAATGTTAATAAATATTATGCTTGTATTTGGGAAAGAGTGTAAAAGGAATGTTCTTTAAAAATTCAAAAATATAGTAATACAGATTGAGTATCCTTAATCTGAAAACCTGAAACCAAAATGCTTCAGAATCCAGAGTATTCTGTGGGCTGGTAAAATACCATACATATTTTTTCCTAAGAAACTCTTTTTACGCAAAATTTTTACAGGTATTCTGTAAAATTCACCTCCAGGATACATAAAGTATACACGAAGCATAAATTAATTTTATATTTATATTTGTTTCATTATCAAGATATTTCATTATATATAAGCAATATTTTAGTGTTTGAAAAATTCTTAAATGTAGCACTTCTGTTCTCAATCTTTTCAGATAACCAATGTTCAATCAGTAATAAAAATGAAAAAATTAACAATGTATGCTTTAAATTGAATATTCTAAGACATTCTCCTTGGCAATACTAATAAACATAGATGAGATAAAATTATCAATGACTTTACTTTTATAAGGAACTACTTAGAATATTGAGATCCAAGAGTTATTGCTAATATCAGAATTTTATATAATAGGGATAATTATATTTCTAACTAAATAGCCTTTACAGATATGACTGAGAAGGCTTTTGGTAAGGATCAGAAAACTATGACTTATAGGACTTATCTAAAGTACCAACCAATTAAGAAATAGTTTATTGCAACAGCCACATCTGTCCCATCTACTATTCTCTGAATGCTTTTGTACTACAGGTGACATAGAGAATGTCTGTGGAGACTGTCTGGGTTTATTTGAAAGTATTTATTGTCTGATCCTATACATTAAAAAAAAAGTCACTGACCTCTAGACTTGAGATGAACAGGACTCAGCACTGCCATCTCTGAATTCCTGGTCCTGTAGAAAATCCAGAAATTATGATCATACCATGAGGCATGTGCCCATGGAGAGAAAGTCACTTACGGATATCTGTTTCTTTAAGTAGTTGTATTACAAACATGGTCTTAGATTTCTCATCTTCTTTCCTTTTATACAAGTTCATAGTCTTGTTTGATATTTTATTTTTCAGACTTTTCTTGTAAATGTAAAGATGATTTGAAAAATATCAGTGATCATGCAATTGCATAAAGAATCTTATAAGTCTGCTTGCTTTGGAAAAAACACTAACCTGTGAGGGGTAGAAAGGCAAGCAGGCTCCCTACTCTTCTGTGTCTTGGCCTTGAATTTCTCTGGAGTCAGTAAAGTGCTGTGCTCCCAGGACATAGTTCTCACACATGACCGAGGCAGAGGCTTCAGCCACTGTGTCAACATCTCCAGTTTGTTATTTTCTAGGAAGAGGAAACAGAACTTTATTACCACTAATTTAAAACCCTCCCACCTGAGCATTGCCATACCAAGTCAGAGTCTATTTAAATGGTTACCATTTATGAGAAAGAGACAAACCATAAATTTGGAGTGTATTGTACTTCATTTAACTCTGGAAAGTATGGTGATATCTTAGGAAATGACTGAAACTTTGGCTAATTAAAACCAAAAATATTTATTATTTCATGATGTAGTGGTCTTCTAAGAGCATCATTCTCAAACTCTTCCATGCTTCTATGGGACCACATTTAATGACTGTTAAGGGAACACAGAGTAAGACCCTCTCCTTAAGAAGCTTGTAATTACATTATATAGCATGCAATACAAAAGTCACTCATTCTATTTTCTTATTATGTGATGATCGTAGGTCTGGTAATTGAGATGTATACATTCATTTTAAAGAACCACTAAAAATTATTGAACAACATTTTAAAGAAATGCATATGAAGATCCTCATTCCTTCAAAAATCTATTTTTGTTTATTGACTTTTACCCCAGAGTTTGGACAGTCTTGATGTGTGTAGACTGTAATACAAGTAAATTTACATTTTAAGTGGAGCTGTGCTTGCATTTTTGCTGTTGAATTTATATCTGGGGTTATCTTGTACATTAGTTTCTGAAAATTCTGCTTAAAAACTATGGCCTGACTGTTGTATATTGTCAAGAGACAAACAGGGCCTGTGCTTCTACTTGGATGAAAGATATAACGTAAGTGTTTTAGATATCTACATATCCTATTCATCAAAAGCATGGCTAATGTTTGAATATGTGTTATTTTTGAAAAATTATGCACAAAAGGAACATTTCTAAATGGAAAAAAGGAGGCAACCAGGGTGCAAGAACATGACATGGCTGAGTACCTATGATACAGGATTATGGAAAACTCTGGAACATAGCCAAGGGCATTTTGAGGTAGAAAAGGGAGCAGTAATTTCTGAACAACTGCTCACCAAGCTGATGGATTTAGCCACAGTGGTCCCCGTGGCCTTATAGGACATGAGTCATGATCATAAAGTTGCATGAATAATACTTGCTGTGTGGGGAGAGGTAATGATTTTCTATGCAAGGAAAATTTTACCTTTAGTTCACTTCAACTATATTGTATTGAATACACAAAGCATTGATACTATAACTAAGAAATAGAGGTTTGTGATTAGGAGTAGTACAGTTTAATTTTTCATGTACTTATGTGGTTTTATATGCCACTTGAACAACAATAGACATTTTGTTTCCTTCACAGGGGAAAAGAACATAATAGTTTTACAATTACCAAGAGTAGGCTTGGAGAACCTGGACAAATCATTCTGTTCCTTAATCCAGACCCACTGCAGGCATGTCAAAGGCAAAAGCCGAATGACAGTGGTATAAGAAATTGAAACAGAAGGCAGATAATGCTGCTTTACAAATTTTGAGAAGGATTAAAGTACAATTTGAAAGTAGAATTGACCAACAGGATAATTTGGTAAAATGTATGGGATTTGTCTTGGATTAGAATATAGAGAGATTAAGTGCAACCACTGGCGATATATGATCAGAAAGTGGACATAATACATCAGAGAGCATAGTCCTTTATCCACACACTGCCATAAGGTTGTTTTCCGGATTCACACATTATTATTGAAGAAACCATAATGAACATTAGAAATTGGGCTCGTCAATATTTTGTTCCCAAATGTCATCAGCAGTTACAAATAAACCATTTCATCCAACCATGGTTTTTGTGGACACTATTCTTATCGCCAGAGAAGGATGAAATACATGCATTGTATATTGTAATCTGAGTTACTAAGTAAGCCCAAAAGCGTAAGAATATTTTAAATGCACAATGCACAAATCACACAATGCACAAATCAATGCCTGCCAAGACATATAAGTAGTCATGAATGTCATTTTCATTTGGAAGTTGTTATAATGGTGGGAGGATACTCTGGATGTAGAGTCCATCCTTGGTAAAGTTCTTGTTAACATCAGCAGTTGACAACAATTCATGAAGTGAATAAAAAATAAAACATCACACATATTGATCAACTATTATGTGCCAGGTTAAGTGCTAAGTGAATCTTCTCACAATGTGAATAATTAGAGAAAACTATTGCATATTCCACTGTTCAGGAGATAAGAAGACAGACTGAAAACTTAAACAATAATGGAGTTGACAGATGTACTAATCTTTGACACATATATATGTAAAATATCCATATACATATTTTAAAATAGTCACCCAACACTCTTTGATTGGATTTAAGGTCTGTCTACTCAACAAGATGGAACCTATACATAGCACCCTGTCAGAGACAAGAATTTGTGGTAGATGGGTCATAGACTGTAGGTGAAAACCTACTACTATTACTCTATGGACATATTACTAAGTGGGCATGGTTTTAAAATGACTCATAAAGACATGTACTGAGGGCCTGTGCATGAAAGGTAACCACTCTAACGGCCCAATCCCTGACCTGTACCTCAGCTTATATATTTTTTATTATTAGATGTTAATAGCCTTTGTAACATATCAAAGTGCATTGTTGATTTAAGTCATTATAATTTTTTTGCAAATATGTTTACTCTCTCTCTTACCATTTTATTCCCTTATTTATATTTTGACAATGACATTTCTAATTTTAATGAATCCATGCATAATATGTATGTAAGTGTATGCATGACTGCATATATTGTTTGAATCCTTCTCTCAGATCTGCCTCAGGAACATTCTCTTTATGGTTAGTGCATTGTGTTTAAGTGCATTTTCTACACAGTCACATGGATACATCCTCTCAAAACACCTCCTAGAATCTTTGTTAGTCTACTATTTGTATTTTGTCCTATGACTGTGACCAATTCATGGAATATTTTCTTTAGATGTTAGAGAGAAAAAAAATGATATTTTTTTCATATGGAAATTTAATTAGCTTAATATAATAATTAAACAAATATTTTTGACTCATTTTTAATTGACTCAATACAAACAGAAAAAAACTTTACACACTAGTCTACAATGGCACTTTAGTCATAAGTCCTAAGAGTTATATCTTAATTTTAACTTCTGTTGGACTGGCCCATTTATCTGTTCTCATGGCTATCCTACTCTGACTTCTTGATGTTTTCTCTGGATAACCAGAAGAGTACTACTGCATGTCCAGGTTGATTCTCAACTCTTTGGTCGACTGTGCCTTCCAAACACTCTCCCATTCTTATATAATTGTGTTATAGTCTTGATCAATTCCAAAACAAAACACTCTGACAGATTTAAGCGTATTGGGTTGAACTCACATGTTAATATCAGGATAATAATCTCCTAATAAACCGCGAGTCTCTGAATATAACAAAATTGTGACTTATCTTTTAAAAATAATTCATTTAGTTTTAAAAAGAATTTCAGCTTAACAGATTTGTACTAATGAAATATTTTATTGTTTTATTGACTTTTACATTTTTCTCCCCTCCCCTCCCTTCCTCCCTTCTCCCCTCCTCCCCTCCTCCATGATCTTGTCTTGTTATCCTTCTTTTGTTGATTCATGTATGTCTTTCTTAGGGTCCTCTTTGTTGTCTAGATTCTCTGGGTTTGTATACTGTAGATTGGTTTTATTTTTTTCTTTGCTTTATGTCTAAAAGCCAATTATGAGAGAGTACATGTTTTATTTTTCTTTCTGGGTCTGAGTTACCTCACTCAATATGTTTTTTTCTAGATCCATTGATTTGCCTGCAAATTTTAAGATGTCATTTTTTTTTTACCATTGTGTAGTACTACTCCATTGTATAAACATGTTACATTTCTTTATCCATTCTTGGTTTAGGGGCATCTAGTTTGTTTCCAGGTTTTGACTATTATGAATAATACTGCTATAAGAATGTGTATAGTTGTGCACATGTCTTTGTGGTATGATTGAGCATCTGTAGTGACATTTCATTTGTAATTTAATAAATAAAACTTGCCTGAAGATCAGATTATAAAACACCCCCACTGGTCAGCCTTTCAGACCAGGCAGAGGTAACACACACCTTTAATCCCAGTAGCCACACTAGTTGCCATAGAAACTGAGTGGTACATGCCTTTAATCCCAGTGGTGAATGCCTTTAATCCTAGCCCTAGGGAGGAATATAAAACTGCAAGAGACAGCTCACAGTTAGTCTCATTCTGAGATTTATGAAGGTAGGATTACCATTTTCAGACTGAGGTCAAGGTAAGAACCAGGGGGTGGCTGCTTTGCTTTTTGGATATTCAAGTTGAACCCCAATTTCTCTCTCTTAGTTTTTATTAATCGTGCTTCAAGCATCCTTTGGATATATACCCAAAAGTGGTAATGTTGGGTCTTGAGGTAGATTGCTTCTTAATTTTCTGAGAAATTGTCTTACTAACGACCAAAGCGGCTATACAAGTTTGCACTACCACCAGCAATGGAGGAGTGTTTTTCTTATCCCATATCCTCTCCAGCATAAACTGTCATTAGTGTTTTTGGCATTCTGATAGGTGTAAGATGGAATCTTAGAGTTGTTTTGATTTGAATTTCTCTGATGGCAAAGGATGTTGAACATTTCCTTAAGAGTCTTTATTGTACTAAGGAAATTTTTAAATGAGTGTACAAAACAATGGATTTTATGACATTTTGTGCCGCATATATCATGAACCTTTCGATACATTTGGCTCTCTCATCCCTCTCCTTTGTCCCTCCTCACTTCTGTGGGTCTCTGTCTTGTTCCTAAATAGTGTACCTTCTGTTTTCATGTCATATAAACCTATTGTTCCCTACTCCTATCTCCAATGAGACCCTCCTTCTACCATGCACATTTTCTTTCTACTTTCATGTGTATGTATGTATGTATTTCACAGCTATATTTTAATCTAGATCACACATAAGAGAGAAATCATCTAAATATATAATATTTGTCTGAATGACTTATTTTGTTTGACATGATAATCTCCAGCTACATTCATTTTTAAAAATATGGTACAATTTAATCCTTTTTTGGCTAAGTAATACTCCATTTTCTATATATACCATGTTTCCTTTATCCATTCATCTGTTAACGGACATCCAGGCTGTTTCCAGGGATGTACTGACCTAGGGTCCTTTATATACCAGAGTAGTAGAAGGACATATGGTAATTCCATGTTTAATGTTTTGGGAATGTCAATACTGATTATTTTCACAAAGGTTGCACTACTTTCAGCAACATATAATCATTCTTCTTCTCCTCACCCTCATTAACATTTATAATTGTTTTCTTTTCCTGATTTAGTCATTTTGATTGGGGTAAGTTGGAACTCAGTGTGGTTTTAATCTGTATTTTCTAATGTGCAATGGCACTGACGATGTCTTTCAAATATTTATTGGCCACTTGTGTTTCTACTTTTTTATCATTCACTCTTTGATATTATTTGCTTTTAACTTAATAACAATTCCATAAATATACAGAATGCATTTTTTATTAGTCACACTCTATTACTTTCTCTTGTCCCCCTCTTTTTTCCACTTAAAACCTGCTTTTCAGCTAGTACTACTTCCTTACTTGTTTGTGTGTGACCCACTGAGTTTATAATTAGGACTGCTTCCACAATCATGGATGGATGGAGGTCATTTGTTCAATTTGCTTTCTCACTTATTGGCTAGATGGGTTTGGTTTTCTGTGAGGTGTTTTTAAATGTCTTTCAATCATATTTTAGTTATTAATCTGCACTCAGACATAGTTGACAAAGATTTTCTCCCATTCTGAAGGTTGTCTCACTGTACAGAAGCTTTTCAGTTCATGCAATTCTGTCAACTGTTGCTATTAGTTCCTGAGCAATTCGAGTCCTATTCAGATGATGAAGATGTTTTGAGAATCTTTCTCTAGATTTTAATAGGCATGTTCTTTTCATGCCATTATTCACAGTACCTACTTATTTACTTATCTGTTTCTTTTCTTTGTGACAGAGTCTCATTATGTTGACCAGGAAGATGACAAACTCTTACGCTTAAACAACACTCCTGTCTCAGCCTTCTGAGCTTCAGGTCCCTAACTAACCTAGCTGTTATAAATATCTCCCTTCAAAGTGTTCAAATATCAGTGCTCATGAAGAATTTGTTAAAAACAAAGAACCTATACTTTTGAATAACAAAAATTTATGTATGTGTTTGAATAACAAATATTTTATGTATATGTTCAATAAATTTTAAGCATATAGGAAGTATAAACGATATTCAGAAAAGTTCAATTAAGATCTCCACTATGGGGAGAAATATGTGTTGGGAATTATTGAGGATCATTAATATTTAAACAAAAGATATCAATGAAGAAATCATTCTCTATAGCATCCAGTAGGCTTGTTATATCAAGTTATTAATTTTATATTTTCTGAAAAAACAATATTTACAAATTATGAGTTTTATTTCTTTCTTCCAATCTGTTCCCTTTTAAAAGCCAACATGTTTTTTTTTGCTACTGCCCTGGCCAGACTTCCCAGTGCAATGATGATTAGAAGTTATGATAGCAGGTGTCTTTCCTAATATCACAGGAGAAGATTGCCCAGGCACCATTAGATTAAAATGTTCCCTTCTATTCTAGCTGTCTATGAGTTTTAATATGAATATTGAGTTTTGCCAAATGCTCTCTCAGCATCTTTTGAGACTCCTTGTTCTTTGCTCTTTCTCTATGGAAATTATATTGCTTCAACTTTTAAAATGCATCACCCATAGATTCTTGAACCATCCCCCACTTTATCAAGATGTGTCACTATTCTTTTTGTATAAAACTTGGTTTAAATTATTATTGGTTTATGTTTGCACCAATGTTCATGACAGAAATTGATCTATAATTTCCCTTTCTTTATTGTTCTCATTAGGATTTAATGTCAAGGATTAAAGAAAAAAGAGGGCAAATAAATTTCTTCTCTGTGAATTATTTGTGATATTGTGTGTAAGATTAATCTGATTATTTTTCTAGACTTTAGATAAAAAAATCACAGAAGAGTCACTCTGGGGTGTGGAGTTTTCATTGTTGAAAATTATTTTATTCTAGATCTCTGCTATCCATCAGAATTGTTCCATTTTCTACTTTCTGTCAGATATGGTAAGATTTTTATAGTCTATACACTGAATGTGTTTTAGTTTTGAATAAATATTTTTATTACATTCTCTGATTAGCTCTTATTGACAGTACTGCTCCAGTTTCCCGTCTCTATCCCGGTGCTTTGTGGCCCTTCTTTTACTTCTTAGTCTGTTGAGCCAAAGGTTAATGAATTTCATTATTCTTTATACCACTTCATAACTCACATGTGTGGGTTATAAGCTTATGAGATTTTCAGAGGATAAAATCCATAAATCACCAAAACCAGGAATGTGAGAAACTGTACTATTCTGTGTTCTAACCATGGCATCAAACTGGTTGGAAAGACTAATGCACCCATCTGAACTTCGACTTTCCCACTTATCCTTCTGTATCTGAAGGACATGGTCATCTTTGTCATCTCCCAAGGTCTCACTTCAGTCAGTATTTTCACTGAGGAGTCACATATACAATTCTGTATATGTGATTTGCCGTTTTCTTTGATCAGAGCGTTTATTTTCTCTATGGTATCTTCTGAATCTGAGATTCATTCTTCTATCTCTGTCATTCTATTGGTTATGCTTGGTTCTGTAGTCTCCGTTCGTTTACCTAGGTTTTCCATATCCAGCCAGTTCTCGGTTTGTGTTTTCTTCATTGCCTCCATTTCAGTTTTCAATTCTTGAACTGTTTCCTTTACCTGTTTGATTGTTTTTTCTTGGTTTCCCAGAGTATCATTCACAGATTTACTCATTTCTTCAAACTTTTTGTTACACTTCTCATCCATTTCTCTACTCATTTCTTCAAACTTTTTGTTATACTTCTCATCCAATTCTTTAAGGGAGTTATTCATATCCTGTTTAAGGGACTCTATTGCTTTCATAATGGCACTTTTTTCCACTTCTTCTGGATTAAGGTGTTCAAGTCCTTCTGTTGTAGGGTCGTTGGGATCTGGTGTTTTCATGCTGTTTTTCAGATTGTTGGAGGAGTTCTTGCCTTGACGTCTGCCCATCTCTTCCTTCAAATGCTCTCTATTGGATCCTCTGGTACCGGGTCAGTTTCCCTTGCTGGGCAGGGACTTCACTGACAGAAGGCCTACCTTTCCTCAGGCAGGCTATTGAAACACAGGCACTCCCTCCTTCCAGGTTGCGCCTATAGCCCAGGCCCAGTGCGCAAGGCAGCTGAGCTGGGGAAATTTTATGGCCCCCCTCCGATGGCTGTCTGCTTGAAGTCAGTGACCCTTACTGGTCAGGAATGTCGCTGAGCTGACACAGGGCCCACCTGTCCTCAGGCAGGCTTTTAAAACACAGGAACTGCCTCCTGCAGGGATGCTCCTACAGCCCAGGCCCAGTGCACAAGGCCGCTGAGCTGGGGAAATTTTATGGCCCCAGGGGGAAGGGAGAAATAAAGGAAGGTGTACCTGGATGGAAGCTGGGATGGCAGGCAGGAGAGCTTAGCAGGGTGGAGCCACCACTGCAGGGTGATTTGGGAGACTAGTTGGGAAGGTCTGAACTCTTCCTCGCCAGGCTCCTGCTGCGGGCCAGAAGCAAACTCACCCCTCTGATGGCTGTCTGCTAGAAGTCGGTGCCCCTTGCTGGTCAGGATGGGTCTTTATTTTTAAAACCAATAAGAATTCACACCACACTCTCAAGAAAATTCATCTTTCTTGGGGGTGGTCTCATCCTGAGCAATTTGTCTATGTGCTATTATCTTTCTGAAATGTAAGCCAACTGAAGTTTTAGGACAATGACTAGAGACTTTCTGGTGACTATTATGGGGTGTGGAGTAAAACGCTAAATGTTGACAGTAAAATATTTCAGTTGCTCTTACCTTTGTTCTTCCATCTTGAGCATAGGAAACATAGATTAGGTATCATTGGCTTTCAGATGGGTCTTTGAAAATTCAATGCACTTATATGTGGCTGGAGACATGGCTCAGTAGTTAAGAGCACTGCTTGCACTTTCAGAGGAGCCAAGTTTGATTCCCAGCACCCACATAGAAGCTAACAATGTCTGTAACTCCTTTTCCAGAGGGCCAGAGGTATCCAATGTCTTTATCTGGCCTCCTCAGGCAATACAGGCACATAGTTCATGGACATACAGGTGAGAAAAACCCTCATACACATAAAATAAAAATAAGCAAAATTCATTTTCAAAATGTTGGTGTGCTTATGTGCATAGTTAAACAGGAGTCTCATCCTTCAAAAAAAGAAGTATGAAAAATAAAGGCAGAGATTACAGACATTTATCCTGCTTTTGGCTACCTTGTGAGGCTGAGGAGGAATACCTTTTAGCAAAGGCAGTTCTGAGTACCTGTTATACAAATTCTGTACCAGGGTCTAGAGTTTAAAATCCCCATAGAAAATGTCATGCTGGGAGTAAAAATTCTCCAATTCAAGAGCAGAGGTTCCTAGCCCCAGTGCAAAGGCTCATCTCAGAAGAGGGAAGCTATTCCCCAGTGCAGGTAACAGACTCACACGTACATCTGCACACACATAAGGACTTACTTCTATTCCATCTTCTGGGTTCATTTTTATGAGTAGGACAATAGCCAACAAGGAATTTCTACTTCCCCAGTTTTGGCTAAGACTATAAGCAAATTCATATTCCTACATAAAGTTCTAGCTGACTGTCTGTCTGTCTGTCTATCTCCTAACTACAGTCATCTCCTTCTAAAACAAGTAGGCGTTTGAACCTAGATTGAGGACTAATAATCAGAGGAATCAGCAAAATTTGGAAAAACAAAGTTGACCCCTTAAAGCCACTTTGACCCTCCGTTTAGTGAACTGCTCTAAGAAAGTACACACTTCTACTCACCCCAATAGTATCAACAGTAGAGAAAGGAAAAAAAAATCATGTAATTTCGTTTGCTAGACCAATAGATTTAATTGGGGTTAATTATATGAGTATAGATACAGGTTACCTGCAGAATCATGGGCACGTTGGTCTCAATTGACTGTAGCTGGTCTTGTTTCTTTACTGTAAATTCTTAGAGCAACAAGGAGGAGCCTAGATGAGCACAGGAAAATAGAAAGAAGTGGAACGCACAGTTGGTAAGGCTGATAGAAGAACTGCATTGCTGTGCACCCGCTGTGCACTCTGCCCTTCTTATTTCCCTGTGCTTATCAACTATACCTCACTGCCACTCTATAATTTATTCGTCTTTCCTGAAGGTACTGTAGAAGCTGGGATTTTTTTAGGCGTGTCTATGGGAACTGGCCATTCCCTATACATCTATCTGTGATGGATCTATGAAGTATGCATGTTGATAAATTTCTGTTGGTTTTATTTTTCTTGTTAATACGTCTGCCTCAAAGGATCTCTTCTAGCCAAGAGATTAAGAGAGTGAAAGAAAATTTTTCTTCCCCAACAGTGACGAGCATGGAATTTTAAATTCGTACTTTTCCTTCCATGAGTGTAATCATTTTGGTCTATGAAACAAATTGACAGATAAATTGGAAAACTATTAAATTTCAGAAACACAAAAGCTACATTCAGACTAGGACTCTAAAAGGAAAGGCAAGATGGCTGAATCTTACAGAGAGCTGAGAAAGCACAATGGAGTTTGGGTGTTGACGTGTGTGTGGTAGGCTGAGGAAGAAGCGTTAAGAGATAGATTCTAGTGGGGATATTCTCCTTGGAAGATCAAGTTTCCAGGTGAGAGTTAATTAGAGTACTATGTCTGGGCCAGGTGGTGGGCTCCCGATCACTTCCTCCTGTGAGAAGCTCTCTTCTGAGCAAATAAGACGTGAGACAGAAGAGCCTATTCGTATCCACTAAGGCTTAACTTCTCCATTGTGGATTTCCATTACACATTCACATTTCTTTAGCAAGTAGACACTTCCCAGAGCTATTCTTCTATCTGTAAACTCCTGCAGTTTCTCTGAATAATAAATCCTAAATACGACAAAGAACTAGACTTGGGATAGGGTAATCTCTCCCTCATCCACCATGTCCATCTTCCATCGGCAGGCACTGGGCACTGGTGGCCTCTTTTAATTATTTCCTGGGAACTATATTACCTCACTTCAACCAGGAGTTAAATATTAGCTTTATGGTTAATACATGACAAGCACCTTTGGTGCAATGGCAGATAGGACACAATCCAACCAGGACCAGGCAAGCGGAGCTGCAGCTGGCAATGTGGGGTGGCCTGCCAGCTGCTGGTGGATATGAGAGGTGTCAAACTGAGTCCAGAACTCCAAGATGTCTTAATTTAAGTGTGTGTTAGTACTGACAGGTAACATGAAAATAATCTGACTGGCTAAAGAGTCAGGAATTGTCAGAGCAGTAGATAACATTCCAGCATGGAAAGAAAAGTGATTGTAATGAAACTGCCCCCTCCCCTCACGCATACACCATCCAGATAGGGGCTGAGATCTGCACATTGCCACTGGGCCCATTTATTGTTATATATAATTCTGACCTAAATGCTTCTAAACCTGAGAACCTTGAAAAAATCCTGAGAGTAAGTTCACATTGCTTCGTGACAAACCATCTTAATTATCTTTAAATCACAGCATGCCAAAAAATGCCTGGACCGCATTTAGCAACCAAATTGAGGCCAGAGAAATAGTTCAATGGATGCTTTAAAGGGCTGTGAGTTTAGAGAGCTGCTTCCTGATTGGTATTGGAAAAGCAGATTTATTATAATTAATATGTGATATCACAAACATATCAAGTTATACAATAGTTTCCTCTTAACCTTCAGAAACCCATAATAATAAGAGGTGCTAATGGGGAATAAAACTGACTGGACCCAGAGCAGGTAGGTACAGACCTGAAAGAGGATGCTCAGAGTATCAAAGACCTCACTGCTATCTATCGGCTTCCTTATAACTCTGATAACTGCTCGAAGGAGTTTTTCTGGGACAAGCTTGGATGTGAATTCAGGTCACATAACTGAGAGGACATGGTTATGCCATAAAATTGGAAGAATTGAACACCCTGTTAATCAGTATGGGGTAGCACCTTGTCAATTATTGAAGAACTCACTTTAAGGTTTTTAAAGAAGTATTTGGACTTGTTAGTTAATGTAGAGGCAACTCACAAGTGATAATATTTGCTTAAGCTCTCCACAGCAAAATCCATGTCACATACATAGACACAAACAAGGCATCTGTATGTTAAAGTCACATTCTCTCTCTCTCTCTCTCTCTCTCTCTCTCTCTCTCTCTCTCTCTCTGTTAGATAAGTCAGGCAGCAAATGCTCCTTCAGAATCGTGTGACCTTAGAAGACTCTGGAACATCCACAGTCTGGAAAGGAATAACCGGATTTACACGTACTGATGGGAAAGAACCACTCAGCACCTGGTGATAGCACCGCATTCAATCAAGGGAAATTAAATTCTAACAGGATTAAAGGAGTCAGCAGCTAATACATGGGAGCATGATTTCCCCCAAGCCTAAATGCACACTGAAAGCCCATCTCCTACAGGCAAAGCTGTTAAGGACATGGCATAATGCATTAAGGAGAGAGGGAGTCCAAATATCTGCAGAAAGTCTAACATTTTGTTTTGCTGTGGCAACACAGATCAGTTTTTAATCTCGTAAGATTTATTGCCACATTTTCTAACAGCGAATGTAAAAACATTCATCAATATGGGTTGTGGAAACAACCTAAGCACGTGGAAATTATATCAAGTTTGTGATTTGACCGCACACAGCCACACATACTAAAGCAATAGAGAGAATGACAGCAGTCGTTCATTTCATGATCTCTGTGATGGCTTTTTGGCATCTGCTACTGGGCATCAGAAACACAACTGCCTCCATCTGTCTTTCTGTACTTCCGATTGCACAAGTCCTTTTATAACTGAAAGGAGAGACCCACAGTGTATGCAAATCGGGGACCAACAGGTCCCTAACAGCAGTTAAAAGGACCTGCGTTATTCCCAGAATTGTTTCTATCCCTCGGAAGAAAGGTAGCACTCTTTTACGGGTAATCTCCCTTTCTCCTAGTGCTTCCTGCCGTAACAGCAGCGTGAGACGAAGGACTCCAGCTTTCTGGGCTGTTTCATTCTCCTTTTTGGAATTGATCCTAGGCAATTTGAAGCTTCAGTTCTAAAAAAAAAAAAAAAAAAGGTTGAAGGGCCCAGGCGAAAGGGCAAGGGCAAGTCTGACGTTCGGAGGGGCCCTGTCTGAGCTGAAACTCACCTTTCCTGGGGGATGGTAGCCGCCTGGCAGCCTCTCCAGCAGGCTTATTGTTGTGTTTATTTCCAGCGGTTCTCAGCCAGGGAAGAAAATTGGTCTCTGTGGTAAATCGACTGAATTAATGGCTCCAATACCTCCCCCCTTCCAGTATCTTTACCCTCTGCCTCACAGCGTTCTAGTGCCCACCCTTTCTGACTTTAAGCCCAATAGTGGGACTTATTTCCTTCTCGGGGTAACAGTGATTGTAGCTTACCGAGTTAAAAAGAGTGACTATTCGGTTGCTTCCCTTGCCCTCACTCTGTGTAGAAAGGTCAGGGTAAACGTGCTGAAACATGGAAGATGTGGACTCTGGCCCAGTCGGGCCGGCAGGGAACATCCTAAACTAGGCGGGCGCCAGTGATAGCCACTCAGAGAAGAGCCCAACCAAGGCCCCCTGCTGTGCCACCTGCCTGCCTTTGTTTCTTTTCGATAATCTCACTTTTTTCTATAGACCTAGATCTTCAGAACCAGAATGGGACCTGAGCAGTCTTCCCACTGTGTGCAAGCACGTCCCTGTGTGCTTAGCATAGCCCTAGCCTCTCTGTAGCGACATCTGGGCATGGTTCTTGCAAAATGACTAAGTGCAATAAAAAAATGATGATTTCTTCAGTAGGTAGGTGTTCACTTTGCATCTTAGCTAAGTCCCCAGGATTGTTAAGTGTTAAATGCTAGATGCAAGCTGGTAGATATTTTTTTGTTCCTCTGTGGAGATTTTTTTTTTCCTTGTGCAATGAGATGATCCAAGGACCAGTAAATTTTTAGAACTGCTTTGGAACAAAATTTTCTAAAAGAATCAAGGTAAAGATAAATGAACTTTTATAGCTGCTGGTTTGCCTTTCTGCTAATAATCAATTGCATGACAGAATCCAATCTGTGATTTGTATGAGAACACCCTCTGTGCCTTTACTTATATAAAATTAAAGAGATTTAGTTTAAAACTCAGTTAATGATTTCCACTTCATGGAGACGTGATAGAAGTTGAGCCGAGGACCTCGTGTCTGATAAGTACATTCTCTACCACCAAGGTACACCCCAACACACAAAATTCCAGAATTATTAAGACAAGTAAATTTGCATATTTCCCTAAGAGACCCACTGTTGCACTTTGGGTTCTAGCTTGATAATAAACCACGATGATCAAAAATAACTTGGGAGGAAAGGGTTTATTTGGCTTCCACTTTCACAACACTGTTCATCATCAAAGGAAGTCAGGTGAGGAACTCAAGGCAAGAACCTGAAGGCAAGAACCGAAGCAGAAACCATGAGGAATCCTACTTATTCCTTTACTCCCTATTGTCTCAGCTTGCTTCCTTATCCAACTCAGCTCCAAGCTTCTGGCTGGGATTGCTTTCTAGCCCATGGTTTGGACTCTTCTATATTAATTATTAACCAAGAAAATGCCACACGGATTTGCCTATAAGCAATCTGATGGAGTCATTTTCTCAGTAGAGCTCTTCTCAGGTCAGTCTAACTCCTGTCAAGCTGACAAAACCAAACAAAGCCAAAACAACCAGGACACACACCAGATGCTTCAAAGGTCACAACAGAATAATAAAAATACTTTTAAAAGGAAAAACAATTCTAAACTTGTACACAACTAATAATCTCATATTGTAATATGCTTTGTAATAATGTAATAATCTAGTAACAATGTAATATTATAGTAATGTAATATATTTTTAATTAATTTATTTATTTTTGGTTTTTTTAAGACAGGGTTTTTCTGTAGCTTTGGAGCCTGTCCTGGAACTAGCTCTTGTAGACCAGGCTGGCCTCGAACTCACAGAGATCCGCCTGCCTCTGCCTCCTGAATGCTGGGATTAAAGGCGTGCGCCACCACTGCCCGGCAATATACTTTTAAAACAATAAAGAAAAACATAAAAGATAAACAAAAATGTTAGAAATATTGTCTTTATAGATTTGGAAAAGGAGGACTTTTAAATAAGTTAAAATGAGTTTTAGAATTAGACACACTTCTAGATATCAATGAAATATTATTGGAATTCCAGGCTACAATATGGTTTCAAGCATTTGTCTGTGTTAATATGTCGTGTGTGTGTGTGTGTGTGTGTGTGTGTGTGTGTGTGTGTGTGTGTATTATAAAATTTTGACTTTCTTTTTCCACCAGGGTCTTCATTTAGCAAAGTCTAGGCTTGTGCCGGCCACCATTATGCAGGGCTAGTTACAGTTTTAGCTAAAATACGAGAAAGAAAACTCCCCAGCTCTGTCTCTCTTAACACAGAAGTGTTATAGAGAAGATGAAACAAATGACAGGAAATGCACACTTGGGTTTGGCTGAGATCCAAGTTAAAGGAACTTGGATAAAGACTTTTTCTCAAGGATCTGGAGCAAAGATTTTTGAGTTGGACTATTTTTCACTCCCAGAATATTTCTTATGGGGATCTTAATTCCTTTTAATAATTGTACGAGGAATGTGAGCACTCATTACAAACTGGAAGCAACATTTGTAAGTCATGTCATATCCTACTCATTAGAGAAAGGGCAGTGCAATGAGTTGTACACAAAAGAGGACATCAGATAGTAACAATAATAATGGATACTTTTGCAATGAATGAATGAAGTAAAAAATAATAATGTTACTGAGTTTAAAGGTGTCTCAGAACCTGTGTACACCATGATACCATTTCAATAAACTCAGAAGTAAGTGATATATTATTGAGGATTATTCAAATGCCGAACAAAGGGATTACATAAAAAGAATCAGAAAATAGTTAAAGTAAAATTTCTAACAATGGTGTGTTTTAAGGGTTAAGAGATGGGAAGAGTGACAAGAGGCGAGCAAGAAGGAAGGATGAAAGCAAGGAAGGAGAAAGAGACTAAAGAACACTTAGCAAACACTAAGTCTTGATGTGATAAATGGTCCTTGGATCTCATCTTTCTGCCTTACCCACTTCCCTAAAGTGAACAGGAACAATTCAAGTCAGATTAGAAGAGTTCTTGGCATTTGTTATTCAGAATGTATTTTCCATCTTGAATTTGCTGTGTGTGAAGCCAGGAGCAATTACTTTTCAAGTGGATACACTGTCACCGCCTTTCAAGGTGTGATTGTCCTGCATTTCATCATAATTCCTTGAGCCAACTAGGGGTTCACATGCCAAGCATTATGGAATAAATGAGAATTGGAAATCTCTGCAACCATAAAGCAAGGAAATGCAAAATTGAATACTGACTAAAGGGCTATCAAGGGGCACTCTCTTCCTGAGAAAGGCACAGTGCTGTTGCACAGACTCATTTGAATATGCCTTTGCTTATTGCAATTCACCAGCAGTCAAACTACTGTCTTTATAAAATCTCTTCTACTTTACCAAATAAGGTTATTTCCACTCAGAAACTATGGATTAACAATTTTTCAAGGAACATTTTTCATAACAGCCTTGATATCTATTCATTTATCCAAGCTTGATTAAAAAACCTTACAATGGATCAGTTATACCCCTGGGATCAACCCTCTCAGTCTCTGACTTCTCTGCAAGACAGACTTTAAGATTGTAGGTACTGCAATGCCAACACAGAAAGACCAATTCACTTGTTCATGGAAGATTTAAAAGGCATGGAGGATTTGTTTAGAGGTCTTATGTCCTCTTATCCAACCTTTATCATGGCATGAATGCTTGAGTAAGATTCCAAAAGCAATCTTAGCTTCTTTTGAGGATGCAAAACTCCCAGTGGGTCCCCAACTGAAAACTGACTTCATCAGGTTAGCCATTTTTTCATGAGCCTTCGGCAGCTTCCAGGAAATTGTGATTCCACTCCCTTGTAAGTTTTAGTTGGGGTGCAATGTTCACAACTAAATACATTCAAAGCAACTGTTAAACTATACATTGTACAGGCTGTTCTGAAAATTAAGGCTGTACAACTTGCCTACATTATATACATACATACAAACATGCATACATACATACATACATAAATGGACACATATGATAACAGTCCACTTCCCTTGTTGCCAATCTATTTATAAGATGTAAATTCCCATTAATTTAGGGAAATAAACCAAAGCCACTGGTATATAATGGCAAGGATCCAACTATGTTCTACTAGCCTAGTCACTTCTTAGCTAGGCCAGGAACCAAAGGCAGACAAGTCTCAGTGTCCTTAAAATTTATAATTAATTCCAAAAAAAAATCAAAGTTCAGTTTGTCTGCCTTGCTTAGGGTTTCTGGTAGTGTGTGTAGCCTTTATTTTGATTCCATTTTGTAATGGCCTTTATTTTGATTCCATTTTGTAAAGGTATTCCATCTTAAAGCTCAACAGATGGAAAAAAGAAATGAAATGCTGACAGAGCATGGAAAGAACTTCTTTAAATTTCTTCATGTCCCCCCCGCAAAAATAAATCTGAAAGTATATACAATATATATCAGCATCTCTAATTTAAAAATGCTCTCCAAAGGACACTACTTGTGAGCACAGGAATAGTGGAGAAAACAGAGACCAAGTTGGTCCAGGTCCAATAAGAAACAAGTGCCAAGAAAGGAATAAAAACAATAATTATGGTAATGGTGTTCTCAGAGACATAAAAATTACTGAGAATGGGCTATGAAAAGCTACAGAGCTACTAGACCCTAGTACACATCTCACTTAGGTACAAATCATGAAGGAAGGAAGGAAAGAAGGAGAGAATGAAGGAAGGGAAGGGAAGGGAAGGAAGGAAGGAAGGAAGGAAGGAAGGAAGGAAGGAAGGAAGGA